AGCACACAAGCGTTCCCTTAATGGCGTAGCAAACGACTTTTAGTTTTCACTCGAACGACCTGTCACTTGTGCCTCTGCTATCAATCCTCACCCTCCCTCAATGCATCTAGTTCGCCGCGATCATTCGTACGGGTTATGTTCTTAGTCCAGGGACTACCGCCGGGTGCAACGCCGTAACTCTGTTCCTTTTTCTTTTGATGCGCGTTGTGTACGTTGATTTTCTGTTACAATCTGAAAGCATTTGAACATGTCTACCGGGTCTTGTTGGCGCGATCTTCACGCTTGATTTTGTTTTCTGTGGAGACCAACATCACGCGGACTGGGCATTTACTCCTTTTGTCTGCTTGTGGGTCTTGGTTCTCAGTGTCAAATCACAGGCTGTTTTGGGCGTGTCCCGGTATACTTGATAAATGAAAGAGTGTTGTGCCCAGCTTTCGCGGAACCTCTAAGGTGGTCACCTATCCGAGTCCAGGAGAAGCGACAGGCGTTGCTAGGGTAGGAACCATTCACCCTAACGCTTAGTTTGTGTGTCCTGTGCGTCCCTCCGTTGTTTTCGCTTTGATCTCCTAGACAAAGCAATACTGTTTACGGCATAGCCAAGCTGAAACGGAAACCGACGCCGCGGCTAGGTAGTGCTGGCTAACCGACAACCGACGGCGACTATAAACTCGGTATTTCAGAAGAGGTAGCCTGGACACTATCGGCATTCCAAAGCTTCTCCAGGAAACTGTCGACGTCTATCCGATTCAAGCCTGGATGAAGTTCGAGGTCGCTCTCTTGTTCGTTTCAGATCACCGGAAAGTTACGCGACAGATTATAACTCGCACCCAGACCACTACCAGTGGTACTTGCACGGTCGAGAAGACAATCATTCCGTACGGTATGCATTGTTTCGTCTTTTGCCTGACGGACTGAGAATCTTTTTGCAAAGAAGACATACACATATTACATGGCTGCATTCGGGCCATCGAAACTACATCAAAAGATGAAAATGTGAGTTCAATCTGTGGCGCGTAATTCAACCCAAACCGAAATGAAAATCACGGAGGCCCAGGAGTGAAACTGCCCCATCGATAGAACAAGAACACGAGTCTCTTGAGTTCGTGAAGTACTACGCTCACAATAGGCGGACAGATATTCGCTATGTTTGATTAATCACCTTCCTTCTAAGGCTACCACATCTTTCATTTCAAGGAACCTCGGCTTGCTTTGTCTGCGAGACCGAATTCTCCCAGTCAACTTTTGTCGCGAAGGTTATCAAAGGTGTATGTCCTAGCGCACGTATCCCGACGATTCACACCAGGCTGTGGGGGCTCCGGAGGCTTCCCCTGACCCGTGAATGCTTGGAGATCGTCTACGTGTGGATGCCGCTCTCGTAGGTCTCTAATTCTGTCTGTCATTTCTTCGAGAGTAATATTTGACGGTGTATCAGGCGTGACTATAGCCAGTTGCAGTTCTTCTCCTCCTCGAGCAAACCTCTGGTTAAAGAGAGCGAGAGATTATCAGTTGCTACTGCGCATGTGAGTTGCTGGCGGCAGGTACTCAATTTCTAAGGGAACGTATTTAATACGCTCATCAGATGATTTCATAGCAATCGGACGATACATAGACATCTTTTGCACGGAAAATGGCTGTCTCCATTCTTCCTCGAGAGGTCATTGATCCCTCTTCAACCAGCGTGCATCTCCCCACGATCGTACACCTTAACCCAACTGTCAGATATGTTGCCACATATGTTCATCGACGAGATACTGCCGCCGTGATCGCATCGATACTGTTTTGAGGCGCCCGTTTATAACAATTGCCTGAACAGCTTCCAAGGTCGACGTGTACGACGATGTTCGTCGGGGCTTCAAACCTTCCCGCGAAGGCGGCGATCCCTTCAGATTTTGCCCAATTTTGGGGCTGTGAAAGGAGTCCGGCGATCGTGGAGATATGAAGAGTCATCTGCATTTTTATCAGTAAGTCATCTCGACATTTTGTGTTGTATCAGTCGAAGACTCATTCTTTCGTTAAGTGGCACGATTGAACTGTGGTGCCCTCCTCCGTTCTGCCGCAGAACAGTAGAAACTCCAGAGTCAAAGTGAAGTATTTCTTTGTGCGCATTGTCACAGCCATTCAGGACTTATTCGCTCTTCTCGGCGGTATAGCACCTGAAAGGGGAAGGCGCCGTTCCGTATTGAACAGCACTGAATTCACGACAATACATCTACGACTGTTGCTCGAATGGAGAAAGAGTTGAACCGGAATGTCTGAGTCTCCAGGCATATCTTGGAAAAAATCCATTGCTTTGTCCTCGCGGTCTTGGGAATGCGGGGGCGCGGCTATTTGTACGAGCTATGCAGGAGAGTGGTAAACAGGCGCCGCCTAGTTCATTTCGCGTCGCGAAAGTTACGCAATCGCGAAAACAGGATCGGATATTCGCTAGTTCTAGTTTCGCACCTTACAACGGTGGGCGCGTACAATTCTATCGATGTGTCTGGCGACGCGGAAAGACTCGACGCAGCATTTAGACGACGATGCGGGCACGTGTGTCAGTGGTACGTCACATCGACAAGAGATAATTGTCAAGATGGTTTGAAAAGCGCACCACGATTAATAGGCGTGCTGTCCTCAGGCTGTCCTTGACAAGTCAGTTTGATGGGGTGTGTCCAAATCGGGGCGCCTCATGTCCGCCTCATGGCATACGCGGGGTCCAGGACGCGACCGTGTGATCGACCTTCCTCATTCTGTTGACGCGAATTGATATCGCGATTGCTGCCGAGATCTTCCTTTGTCCCCAATGAGGAAGGAGACCTCGCTCTGTGGGTCCATGATGCGTGGTCGCCATCAACCGAGGTCAGGGAAAATGACTTTCCCAATGTCATACAACCCTTATCGTGAACCGGGCTTGGTCTTGTTCCATAATTGTCCCACAATCGGGAACCACCATCTAACTGCGGGGACTTCCAGTTGGTATTTCAGACCATCGCGTTCAACATAATCCTGATCTCCTCCTCCTCTTTTCCTCACTCGCATGCAGCAGCAGAACGGCGGGTATGTTAACGGAATGCCGTACATCAACAACACCCCGGCTCGAGAATCCGCCCATTTCTTTGGTTGCCTCGACCCGAACCACATCCCGCCGGGACGCGCTGTCCTCCCGTCGTCGCAAAGCGTGTCCTTCATGAACCATGCCCCCTACTCGTCGCATGTCGGCAACAGTCAGCCATATGGTGCTGTTGGACCCCCATATCTGTCACAATCGCATTTTTTTCACCCTCACGCTTCCCCGTACGCGCCTCCACATCTCCTTCCCGATAGTCCTGGTGATCGCTTCCCGCCGTCGCCGTCGCCTCCGGTCTCGCAGTTCAGTTCTCCGGGATATATGCCGAGCCGTCTACCACCTATCGAATCGCCCCCACCGATGGAGCATCTCTTCTACCCGGATGCAGGACATTTCCTTCGAGAGGAATTCCAGATTCCCGATGGTATGCCCATAGATCTGGATGCGCTACCACACCCGACAACCCTGACAAACGGCCGCCCTACACACTGAACAACCTTGCTCAGCTGGCGATATACTCGTACCCACGACACAAAGCGACTCTCCATGAAATTCGCACAGCTATTCAGGACCGCTTTTCTTTCTTCAAAGGCAGTAACCAGAAGAAGTTCAATGTCAGTAAATTTTTATGTCTCTCCAGGAACGGTTATACTGACTGATGCTGTAGGGGTCCCTACGCCACCTCCTTTCGTTCCACTCGATCTTTGCTAAACTTCCCCGCCATCCGACCGAGCCTGGACCCGGAGAATATTGGACTCTCGATATCACGCACGCCTTTGAGACGAAGCGTCCTCGAAAAAGACGCAATGCCAAAGGCAAAGTCTCATCCTCGCAGGCTCACGTCCGTCGCTCTCGAGCTTCCTGTCGTGGATCTGAACGACACAACGCCTTCTCGTCGCGCTCATCCTCGTCGTCGCATATCACAGACACGCCGGAGCCTGAAGTGGCTAGCGCTGAATTAAGCGCCGGGCTGAGGCGCTCACCGTATCTGGTGATGGAGAGCATGCCGCCTCTTACTACGTCAGTGGGGCCAGACATGACTGGCACTCTGAACGCAACTATCCTTCGACAGGTGGCGTCCCATCCCCATCTTCTGAATCTCATACCAACCTCGACTGGGAGGAAGAGGAAAGCAAGCCGTACATCGGCGTGGGGAAGCGTCGGATACTGTGAACGCATGCCCTGTGCCACTGTCCTACTCTTCATCTATCACTTTTCTGTTTCCCAATGTTTGTTGTCGCACTGCTTTCTCGCTCTCGTTATAATTGCATCGTTTCTGTCCTTGCTGTTGCTTTCCTGTAGCTAATACTCTGCCTTTCTGTAGCTTTCCTTGTTGTCACATCGAACATTGGCATTGTTAGCTTCCTGTTTACTTATAATCTTTGCACTGTTTTTGCTGCTTCGTTGTCTGCTTGTTTTCCATTGCTATCCCCACGCGCTATCCATCTGTCAATACTGTAGGACTTGATAAAATAATCTCACACCGTGCGCAGTTTTCCCGGTCTAGCTTACAGACTTCAACAACGAAAATTCGAGTTGCACGTTCACGCGTTCACGGTCTGAGGACATCATCACCAGCACAAGTCAAATCAAGAGGCTTTACGGCAGAGTTCTGGCCAACCAGCAATGAGCCCCATTGATTGAAAGCTCCAGTTTTGTTGTTTGAAAGGTACAACCCACAGCTTAGAAACACAAAATGGTACCATTGGCGACGAGATCCGATTTGGAGCGGTCGTGAAGTCACTGCATGCAGTCTGCAGAGATGCATCAAGGCAATTACTGGTTGTGCAAAGCGATATGACATTGAGAGACGGGCCACAGAGACAATGTACAAGATCAACTGGTGGTTCAAAAGCCCTTCACGCCGATCCTTATCTCATTGGCAAAAGGGCCAAGGCTGCAGTAGCACCCGAGGGGCGGGGGAGCCTAGTAGCCAAAGAAGCAGCCTCCTCAAGCCGTCGTGGCGTAATGGTAGCGCGTCGCTTTCCTAATCTATTAATAGGCGAAGGTTATGCGTTCGATACCCATCGTCGGTAATTGTTTTTGCGCCACTTCCTTTTGGGACATGGCCAACATGACTCGGGACTTGGATAGTCTTGGTCGAGTATCGCATGCCCCTTATATGCGTAGAAATCTCATCTTATATGCGTCACTTTAAAGTCATCCTGGCGCCTGGTTGGTCCGCGAAACCAAAAAAGGCAATATATGGTGTTTGCCGGCTTGGACTGTCACCACCATCACCACCAGTACCACCATGCCTTCAGCCAAGCCCAGTCGCAAAACCAATGATGCCGAATACATGGATGTCGAGACCGACGCGTCGCAGGAGGTAGTTGAAGTTCAGGATCCCAAGAAAAGAGGGCCAAAGGCAGCGAAAGGCAAACAGCGCGCAACAGGATCTGACAACGAAGGAGGCTCCAAGAAGGCGACACGCAAACCGACCAAAGCCAAAGCAGTCAATGCCGACTCTGACGATGAACCGACCAGTGCCAAGAAGCCGTCTCGCAGCCTACAAAGCGCCAATGAGCTGGCCATTGCTTTCGCCCAAGTGGAGATGAACATTATGGAGACGAGGACAGAAATGCTACGGGAGGAGAAGGAACTAGAGGCAGCCAAGCAGGAAACCATTCGTTTGGAACGGGAGAAATCGATCGCCATCGAGGCTAGCAAGAAGGAGACCCTCGAGGCTGAGCATGCACTCGAGACGGCAAAGCAAAACACTGTCAACAAGGAAATCGAGCTGGCAAAGACGCGTGGCACGGCTCCATCCAGTAAGCAGTGTGGTCCCTTGTCATTCTTCGTTCACTCGAGGTGCAACTTTTAGGTCCCGACCGTCTGCATAAAAAGGCAAAACTCTCTGACATCACGAACACCCGCACGACTACAGTAGCCTTGAACCCTGAACAGCTCGCTCGTCGCGCCCTCATGTCGGCTGCCTTGCTCAACTCTCAAACTCTAACTCTTGAAGCCATCGACAAATGTCTACAATACAGCAAGCTGTCTGCGGTGAGCATTGACACTGCGGAGAACGCTGCCTATATCTTGCGCGAAGCTCTGAGCCCCGATGTGGAGATGTCTGTTGTCTAAGAGTCTGTGGGACGTGTTGCTGTTCCGTGCTGTGGATTGCTTTGCTTTGTACTGCTCTGTCTGCTGATTACTTGATTCGATTTCTCGCATTTGTACACAAGGACTTTATACAAAAAATGGATAATTTACACATGACTCGGAAAATCATTATATCCTATGGGCTTTTGCTGATGAAGGCGTTTGCGCATCATCTGAACAAAGTCAACAATATAATTGACGACATTGGCAGGAGCCTCATCGTCCTGCGTATTGATTTCAGCCAAAGCACCAATGTACGTGACAAGAAAGCAAACCTTCTGAACGGCGTTGACGACGAGCGTGCAGTGCCGATGAAATAATGTATCCTTGCCAAGGGCCTTTGCCTTTCCACGCTTGATGAGTTCCTTGTGGCGATCGTCGAAACCGTCACCCTTGTTTGCAGTCTTTTCAAACGTCGCAGAGGACTTGCGCTTTCGATACACATCTGTCATGCGCTGGTGCCGGATGGCCATTATACGAACGCTGTGATACCCGGGACAATCTGCGTCCTCTGTCATGTGTTCTCGGGTTGCTGTCATATCATCAAACCTAGATAATAAATCAGCGACTGGATTATACGTGGAACAAGAAATGTACTCCTGATCGCAATATGGACAGGCAAACCCTTCTTCTCCGATGTAGCACCGAACCTCGAGGTCCATCCACTCGGAGTGCAGCATGTCGCTAGTAACATGTAAGTACTAGTTTCTATATGAAAAAGTAGGATACGAACAGGTGGCGTTGATGGTGAGCAACACCTGAGCTGACAGTTGGTGGGCGGTGGCGATATGCAGGGCACGATGGGCAAACATACGTGCCATCCTCACGCTAAACAATGTTTTAAGATTATAATTGGGACAGGCAGAGAACTGAGAGCGTACTCGCGCCTTGTCAAACTCTTTCTTTATCTCATGCTTTTCAATGAGGTGATGCATAAAGAACGTATGCATTTCTCGGATGGGAATATCAGTCAGTTCGGGCTGATGACGTTCGTCCTCAGCATCCTCAGCGGCTTGAGCAGACATTGATTCATCTCCAATATTTAATGGTCCCGGCATACTGTCCACCTGCATCTGGATATTCGCGAGATCTATACCAGCATCAATGGGAAGCAGGGCATCCAGGTAACCTGGATTCTCATATTCGCCAATGTCCAGTATATCGGTGTCTGCCTCTGCATCGTCGAGAGAGACTTTTGGGATGTCTGAAGGAGCGGGTGGCGTCAAAGAGGTAGCAAGCAGTGAAGCAGAAACGGATAACGAAGCAGACGATGATGGAGCAGGAGCAGATGAGGACGCGGACACTAGAGCTGGAATGCATGACGACGCGGACGACAAAGGGGAAGACGTGATGGAAGACGACGCGATGGACGACGACGTGATGGAAGACGACGCGATGGAAGACGACGCGATGGAAGACGACGCGATGGACGACGAGGAAGCGGACGACGAGGAAGCTTCAGCCATGCGCGATTGCAAAAAAGTTGAACGTTTCTGCGCAAGAGTCACAGAGTCGTGCATTTGCTCCGAGGACAAGCCGCGAGGAAGGTGTCCAGCAGAATAGTCAGCCTTTTTCGTCCTGCGATTGACGCGGCGGGTGGTTCTGGCAAGTCGCTGGGTGGATTTGTTCATCTCGGTGTTTGCTTCTTTCAAGGCCGCTTCAGCCTACTGAAGGTTAGACAAGAAATGACAAGAAGATGACAGTGCATACATTCTTCAAGTCTGCGAGTGTCTTGTCCGAGGCTAGACCAAAGACGAGCTTGCGTTTTACCGCCTCCTTTGGACGATCTGAAACGCCTGCTGCCATCTCTACCAAGCGGTTGATATTGATTGGGATGTCTTTTAGGTAGAAGGCATTGATTCCTGGTGACAAACAGGCTCTAAAGGTTTGCCAAGCCTCGTCGCACTTTTCCTTTAGTTTTTGATGGTCTGGATTCTCCTGTGGAACGCTTTAGTATACAACAAAAAAAGCTGATATATGACCACAAACATCGATGACAGCTTTGACATCAGTCTTCTCAGTCGCCTTGAGCGTTTTCTGTAAACAAGGTACATCATGTTTGAAGCAAGAGTCAAGAATAGAGTTACCTTGGCTTCGTTGATTTGTTCCTCTGACGAACTGGAATTAATCGATGGATCAACTAGCAAGAGGTCTGCCCAGGCGCGGACAGCAACAGAGCGCCGAGGATTAGAATCCAATGCTTTTGGGTGTCGAGAACCTTCGGGAACGTCTTCTCCAAGGCGATCAGCGACTGGGTTCATGTTTCGAGTCCCCTTGTCATAATGGCCGTCGAATGTATCTTCTTTGACGTGGTTTAACGCTGTCTTGGCGTATTGCTTACCCTTGACCATTGCGTAGTAATCTGCCGAGCCGCGGCGGAGCGATTGAATACCTACAGCAACCAGGCCCGCGTCGACGGCCAAAGTATGGCATGTAGCCGATAGCGAATGAGCAGTGGCAGGGCGCAGAGGTTCCTCAAATGCACGGCCACCGGCTGTCATTGCTGGAAATCTATATTGGTGGTGAGTGGCATGCCGCTGAGAAGATATGGTCGGACATACAATGGCTCATCCCGTCTGGAAGGGTCTATGTGTAATTCTGCATCCTTGTCGTTGAGAAGCTCATCAAGTGTCTAAATAGAATAAGCAAGGAGACGAAAGGTTGACAAATCTCATACCTCGAACTTTTTCTCAAACGCACCGGCCATGAAGAGATAGGATACAAGGTAGTCGACGACGTCAAAAGGGACATTGTGTGTTCGTTGAGTCTGGTACAGTGTCCAATCCTGAGAAGAGCCATGCTCTTTGAAATACTGCTTAAAGGTGAGAAGCAAAACGTCGATTTGAAAGGCGCCGTCTGCTAAATGATAAATTTTGAGATGCCCGAGGGCGAGGTACTGATAGAGGCACTGTCAATCAGACAGCTAGAGAGAGAGAGAAGGATTCTCACAGCATGTAAGCTGGTGTATTCCTTGCACGCAAGGCCAAGAGTTGATGGGCGAGAGGTCAGGTAGAAAGGTAAAAGGATTTTGAGAAGGCTGTTAACTTTTACCATACAGTTTGTCGGCGTCGCATGCGCCAACGCAGCCTCAATCATAAGGCGAACCTCCATTTGACCATAGTATATTCTATGGTCGTAGTATCTATCCAGTCCCTTTTCTCGAACCACTAGGAAACAAATATGAGTTTGCGAGAATCAATGTACGGAAAGGCTCGCACGTCGAAAAACAACTTTTTGAAGGGTGTCATATAGACTATGCTGGCTGAGAGCTTCCAGGCCGCAGCGACGGTTATTTGTAGGATCCTGCGTGTACTGTAATAGGAGATGAACGACAATCCCCAACCAACCCACAACGGTTCTTGATTTAAGAACGGTATGTCCAGGTCGTGGCCGCACCGCTTCAACCTGGAGAGAGTCAGAGTGGGGCGGGATGACTACAAGTAGAGCGTACCATGAAGGGAAGGAGTAACGGAATGTATTTGAGTGCCACAGCAATGTAGAATCGCTCATAGCTTCTGATTCTAGGCGCCATTCGTTCCATCATGGCAAAATAGTACGACATGACACGTTGTCGGCTCTGTGTAGTCTTTACAGCCTCGCGTGCTGGTGCTGTAAGCACAAATTCTGTGAGTTGATTTTGCAGTTCCTCAAGGCGATCAGGATCGGTAAAGACCTCCTTCATGACCTAGAGAGAGTTGGAAGGGGGGGGGGGAAGAAAAGAAAAGGCATACATTTTCAATTTTTGCTCTGCGCATAGAAGAGAGTTCGTCGGAAAGTTCAGGCATTGGTGCCCGTGGCAGTGGGACAGCGGCAAGCGACAGAGACGTGAGTTCTGCATTACTAGACTCTGTAGGGGCTGGTTCTGCAGAACTCTGATATCTCGGCGCAAACAGGGAAACGACGGGAGGCGCCACATCGCCAAAACGTGTAA